CTACTACTCTCTCTCCTCCCTCCCTCCCTCCTCCTCTCCTCTCTCTCTCTCTCTCTCTCTCTCTCTCTCTCTCTCTCAGTAATTACCTCCCCTCATATCTCTCATCTATTGGGTCCTAAAACATTCCATATCTGCCCCACACACAAAAGTAGTGGCTGTTTCAATATATTGTGTTGACTATTTACTTGCCACGAACCTTTCGAAGTGCCTGTGGTGAAAGATGCTAGGAGCCGTCCACTGCTTGTTGAACTGTCTTTTTTTTACCATCTTCATTACCTCCCCTCATATTTCTCAATAATTGGGTCCTAAACGAGTTTGATATCTGCTCCATGCATAAAAGTAGTGCTTGGTTTCTATATAATGTGTTGACTATTTTCTTTATGTAAACCTTTCAAAGTTCCAGCAACGAAACACCCAAGGGCCCTCGACTGATTGTAGAATTTCACGATTTTCTGGCCATCTTCATATGTTTAAGCTAGATATCTCCATGTTCCTTGTTGAAATTGAGGTCTTGATGTCTTTCATGCCCCTACCAAAACTCACAGTTGAATGCAGTGTTTAAAAAGCCAATTACTCAGGCTCGGACTTGCCCAAATCACTAGGATCCAGGTAGGGTACCTGGTCCAGATGAAAAAGATTGAAAACTTGGGTGACTCCAAGTCTCCTTTGTATTTTCCTAGAGACTCGGCCAAGTTGGAGCTTGAACGGGCCTGATTCAATGGATGACTTGGGCTTGTGACCCTGGCACATCCAAGCTCGAGGCTTTGTTTAAAGCAATGGTTGATTGTAATCCCTGAATACATGAAAGCTCTATAATTTTGTTTTCAGTTGTATAATGACTTCAATCTTCTTGAATAGCAATTTGCCTTTGGTACACTGACAGACAACCAAACTGAATTGCTTGACATGAGATCAGTGACACGTATTACATGAAGTGTTTCTACACATATCGTAGCTTGTTATTATAACCATTTCAATATGTTGCCATTTAATCATGTTCTTTGCTGTTTTAGATATGTCATTTACTTCTTTGATAGGAAGTGTGATACAATCTTATTGGTGTTTGGATTTGTAGACTGGTCACGAGCATTTAGTCACTCATGTCCTTCCTCTGCTTGTTCGGGCATATGATGATACTGATGCACGTATACAAGAGGAGGTTTTGCGTCGGACGATTTCCCTTGCAAAGCAACTGGATGTTCAGGTATTCTATGCTTCTCTTGGTTGAGTGCTCTTTGTTCTTGTTGTGGATATTGCATTTCACTCCTGTAAATTCTTGCTAGGTTATCTGTGTTAGGTGTTATGTGGAGGGCTCCCTTTCTTCAGCAAAAAAGGCATCCTTAATTTTTATAGTAGTTGTGCCCTTGTGAAAGATCCACCTTTTAATTTTGCTCTAAATTTTGGTTGGCAATTTTACTAAGCCCTTAAATTGAGTCGCTTCCAGGATTTAGTACCAAGCAATTGTATTTGGAGTTTCCATACATGCGAAATTATTGAAAACGATTGGCTTTCAGTTAACAAGGCAATGAAAAAAGGGCTTTTTCACATGCCTAATTGTCTACTATGGAAGAAGCATTTTCAGTTAACACTTAACAAGAAGGAAATAAATCAAGGGCTCTTTCACATGTCTAATTGTCTATTATGGAAGAAGCATTTTGTATTCAGTTGTTAAATTGCTTGTGTGGGTGATCATTTTCAGACCGACCTTGCAATATGTGTTGATTGATTAAGTTTATGTGAGTGTTTCTAAATGTAGGTTTTTTTTACTCGGCTTGGCCATGGAATGCAACCACCGAATTGGCTGAGTTACTTGGGCGGGTCTGAGTCCTTGCCGATATTGAAAATGGGTAGAAAAAGTTTCAAAAAACAAGGAAATATCTTTTAAAATCAGGAAAAACAAAGAAAAGGACAAACTATAGAAAACGTATATAAAGATGAGAAAAAGATTTTTTCTTTTTAAACAAAAAACATGAGAAAATGTTTTCAAAAAGTAAAAGAGGGAAAAACTGTTTAAAGATTATTTTCTTAGAAAAAGAAAAATATAGAAAAATAAAAAAAGATAATTAAGATAAATCCCTAAAAGTTTAACCAAAACTAAATAAGTTCTTTATGATTGATTTAAGTCAATTTAGTGTAAAAGTATAAATCATTTAGCCCGAACCTCTTCTTGCTTTTTCTTCTTTCTTTTTCTTTTGGGGGTGTGGGGTCTCGGGCAAGGCAACCTGCCAAGCCTGAGTTACTGAGACGAGGCCAATTCTAACTTGCCCGAGTTGTAAAGCATTGTTCAAAATAATTACCAAGATAGTATATACACTAGTAACTGTTTATATCAGTATTTTAAAACCCTACGATGCTGATCGGGAATCACCAATCCGGCTCGGTAATCAGCAGCAATTGAACCGGTTCCAAGAAGGAATCTGTCCTAGTCTGGTTCTCCCCCAAACCCATCCTTCAATATTGTTTTCTGTTTTTTTTTTTTAAGCTTATCTAATATTTTTTTAGGTCCACCTTAAATCGGCATCTCATAAACTCCTATTTTATTTTTATTGTATTTTTATTTTTAAATTTTTTTGGATCATTGATTCGGACCGATCGTGATCACCGATCCTGCGATCATAGGGATATGTAGGTTAGACAAACAACCCACTGATCCGGTTTTTGAAACTGTGGTTCATATCTTGCATGTAAAAAGCTTCCAATAGCACCAAGTGTCAACAATGGACAATTGGGGAGTGTATTCTCTGCCTAAGGTCTGGTAGAAAATCTAGATACACTGGCTAGAGGAATGAAGGCTCCCCAACCGTTTGTGATTGACATCGATATAAACAGGTACATGTTGTACATGTTCTCTTAGTTATATTGGGTGTTAAAGAAAAATGTCTTGGATCCGTGCTTGCTTGAAATTTGATTTTTCTCACATTGACCAACTTCAAAATGTTTTTTTTTTTTTAAAAGTTAACTGTTAGTAGTAGGTTAGCAATTTTTTAAACTGTCGGAGTTTCCGAAAGGGGTTAGCATTGGTCGGAATGGAAACTGAGATCGGTAGTTGAGTCGCAGGCATAGTTAGCAAGTCGGGGACTATCAATAAATCAGCACACCATAAAATCGGAAAGAAATTGTTTTTATTTTAAGAAGTCGGAGGAAAAAACTGGGTAAAAAATTACGGATCGGCAAGAATATTTCATGTAAAGATATTGCTAGTATATTGGATTGGGCTAAAAAATTGGAGTAAAAAAATCGGATAAGTTTAAAATATTAGAAATTTTGAAATTCTAAAAGATAAAAATTAGTCAAAGCCATCAATAACTAATCCATCCATAAAAAAGTTACTAGAGCAGAGAAACTCAGAGAGAGAGAGAGGAGGGGGAGGGGGGGGGGGGGGGAGAGCAAGCACAACATAGAGGAACAAGATGGTGGAGAAAAAAGCTCAGAGAAGATGAAGAATATGTTGGATCTGAAACCCTAATTTTTTTGAAGAGAATATCAGATGGGTGCTCTCTTGAAGCCCTAATCTAATGGTAATTTGGGAATTTTCTATTGAAATTAGTATTTAATCTGTGATTTTAAAAAGAGATGGGTTCTCTTTTTCATTTTCTGGTAATCATAAGGATTCTCTGTTTTTCCCTAATCCAAGGTTAAATTTGGGGCTTTTAAATGAATTTAATGTTTAATATGTGCTTTAAAAGAGCGATGGGTTCTCTCTCTGTTTCTCTCTCTATCAGATGGATTTTCTGTTTTCCCCTAATCTGTATTTCCCTAATCTTTTTTCCCTAATGTAAACATGCACAGATAACAAACCCTAACAGGAGAAAAATACTGTTTTTTAGAAGGCGTAAAAATGAAAATTTCATATAAAACAGGAAAAGGATATTGAACTTTTCACAAAGAAAAAAAAAAAAGCGGTTATTGATAGAAAAGTTTTTTTGAACCGATTTTTTTAAAGTTTAAAAAATGCGCATTTTAAACTTCTTCAAAAATCACGTTTTATTGCCGATGTATTGGAAAAATCACAGATTAAAACTGTTTTTAAAAAAACGACGGTGATGTTTTGAAAAAGTCGCGATGTAATCGCTGACTTGGTAACTATGGTCGCAGATGGTGCTACCACCTTGAACTCAACCCCATTCTTAGGCCAGCTAAAAAATGTTCTCATGCTTTATACAACCATTTACATTCTCAAGCGTGAATCCTATTGGGGCCTAAGGGTCTCATCCGTGCTTGGATAGCCTCTGTGTTGCATTGTGGATCATTGTGCACACATTCCCATGCCTGCATTGCCCCTACTTAATGCTTTTATTTTTGGGGGCTGTTACACATCGATTTGTTGGCACTGATTTGTGTGGAAGCACATGTTGCTCGATGGGCTACCACTGAGACTTTGTTGATATGAGACTTCACACTTGCTGCTGATTTTGGATCCATAATTCTCAATAGTCTGATTGGTTCACACTAAACTGAGGTAGGTACGTCTTGATGCCCAAGGATTTTGAGTTTGGCTTTCATATGTTATCAGTAGGAGGCATAAGTTCTCTAGCATAATGAAATGTGTTCCATCCCTAGCACCAAAAGTTTCTGAGATTCTTCCTTTTATCAATCTTTATCCACAGATGGCCCTTTTCCTGATCTCCATGTTTGCTTGTTATTTGGTAGTTCTCCTACGTTGTCCTCCCTTCCAAACTAGATGCTAGTCTCGATGCATGGTGTTCCCAGGATCCACTGGTTCTTTAATGTTTACACCTTCATGGCTAAATCAACCTTCATGGAAAAATCGACTTAGCAACAACGTTTTTACACTATCGACAATGCCACAAGCTTGTTACTCCGACTTCGGCTATTTATGGTCAGGCTGTTCTTGTCTCTCACACAGACAGTTTTCCTATATGCCATTTTTATGCAGAGTATGATGCCCAAAATGATGAGAAAATTAATGATGAGAAAATTAAACGCAACTTGCATAGCAAATACTGAGGCCTTATATGTGTGTGTGTCCATGCATTCTTATGCATGCATGGAACATGTCTAATGCTTATCATGGTATTAATGGTCCAACTGATTACTCAACTGTCATGATCCTGGTTGCCCAAATGTTGAGCACTTGAATAAGACTGCTGCGGAACCTTTTTAACACCAATTTATGGGGTCACCATTGTATTCCAGCCTTCTCTTCATCGCCATTGATAATGGTCGCTTTCTTGTGAAGCAGCCAAGGAGTGAATTGATTTTATACTCTTTGGCTGCGTAAGCAACTTCACCACTTAAATCCATGATCATGTTTGAGAAGCATGACTTCACTCTTCTTCGACTGAGCTAAAGTTCAATATCTGTAGTTTCTTGTGATTGGGCTTTTGTCTAGTGGCATGGAGCTCTTTATCCTAGTACTTGGGTGTTTTTTGTTTCTCATGGTTTATGCCCCAGAGGTAAACTCTATATATGGTGTTATGTTTCTTGTGGATGAACTGGATATAAATTTCATCTCTCAAATCAAGATCGGGACCCAATGCGTCACTAATGAGTACCGTTAGCCACACTATTACTTACCAAGTTCCTACTAATTTAGTTTAGAATGACTTTTTGCATGCAAGATATATAATGTATATTTCCTTAATTCATGAATCTACATGTGTAAAGGGAGGAAATACATACAATGTTTTTGCATCCAAGGCAAATATGCTAGTTTCAGTTTCCGATTCTTCTTTTTTTTTTTTTATTGCATGTCTTAGTCTGATATGGTGCTCTTTTATGCATGGGGCCAGCACAGAGGATTCACTACACATTTTGGTAAATACTCTTTCTTTCTGATTGCAGCTAGTTAAGCAAGCTATTCTTCCTCGCCTGCATGGATTGGCTCTTAAGACTACTGTTGCAGCGGTATGCCTCTCCCAACTATTTCTTAATATATTAGTTAACACATTTTAATCATTGTTTTAAAAAATGGTCCGCCTGGCGCCTAGGCGGCCTGGACCAAAATACCGCACGCCCAGACCCAGGCGGCCCTAAACGGGCTGATGTACTTGGGTGGGCACCCAGGCGGGCACCCAGGCCAGCCGGCGGGTACCTAGGTGGGTGCCTAGGAATGTCGGGTTTTTTTTTTTTGAAAAAAAAAAATACCCAAAAGGGAAAATGGGGTAATTGTGACCCTAAAAAAGGTTTAAATAGGTTATGGGAGTTATTTTTAACCCCCAAAGAAAAATTCCATAAACCCTCAATCTCTTAGCTACACTTGTTTGTGAGAATCAAAAGTATTTTTTGTGGTTTGAAGACGCTTCCTAAATTTTGTATGGTTTGAATTTTGAAATTTTGAACAAGTTTATTCTCAACATGCGATATGTCAAATGTTTGTATATAAAACAATATGTTACAATATTTTCAAATATAATAAATTTTAAAATTGACACAAATATATGTATATAAATCACATATCTATATAACTTGTACAACAGGGCGCCCAAGGTTCTGGGCGCCAGGCCGGTCACCTATGGGCTGCTTAGCATTTTTTGAAACCTTGATTTTAATTGCATTCTTTTGATATTCTGTCTAATAACATATTATATAACTCATAATAAGTTAAATTTAATGTGTGAGTTTGTGCCACACATGTTATGGGGGTGTATATATTATTGCCTGGCACCTGCACAAGATGATTTTGTACATCTGAAATAAAATAACACTCTTGAGTACTTTGAATTTTCAAACGTATACGCATGATGTTCCCATGCGTGTTATGTGTGTATAGTTTCTGAGGAATCATTCTATTATGCATCTTAATGTGACTTTAACATTCTTGTATTACTAGTAAAGGATATACATACTTCTTGACATCCTGATACATATGCTTTTGTGCGTGAGCTGGAGGCAGGTAAGGGTAAATGCATTGCTCTGCCTTGGAGATCTGGTTCACTTGCTTGACAAGCCTGCCACTGTAGGCATTTTGCAAACATTGCAACGATGCACAGCTGTTGATCGCTCTGCACCCACTCTTATGTGTACACTGGGGGTTACAAATTCTATCTATAAGAAGGTAAGTTTCTGCACCGTCTATTTTCACTTCTTGTTGCATGGTTCTTTGGTAGTGATATGGTGGATTTCATTTGTTCATTTGTCACATTCATAATTTGAGAACTGGCCATTGAGAAATCAGCATGCAAAATGGATGTGCCTAGCTTTTGGAGTTAGAGGTTCAACAGTGGCTGTTTTTGAGCTTTCACTTAGAATTTATCAGCGCCGAGTCCTAGCAAACCTTGAGTAATGATAATCGTGCTTTTTCTACAATTTTATTCTTTTGACTAACCATTTTGGTGACAAATATCAATGACATTGGCCGTTGACCAGCCTGGTTCATGCTGGAGTTGGATTTGAGGCTTGTGCTTGTTCTGTTTTGGAAAGTGGCTTTTCTTATATTAACCATAGAATAGATATTTGGCAAATCTATGCCCTTGACTGGAACTGAAATGTCTCTGTATTGCTTTTACACCTTATAACTCAGTGTCCAAATTGCACCAGAATCAACTGAATTTGACGTTTTTTCAATTATCACTCTTAAGTTTCTTGAAAATTTAGACTATATTTGGCTGGGATCCTGAATTTAATTGTTTTTCCCTTTTCATTAAAATAATTTATTTGAAGAAACTAAAATAAAATAAAATAAAAATTGGCTTATTGTTCCACAATTAGAAGATGTGGATTGGTTTTGTCCTGTGCGAAGCCCTCTCAAAATTTAATAAGTACCTGAAGCCATGAATGATTTCTTTCTAACCATACATTGTCATCTTTCAGTATGGTATAGATTTTGCGGCAGAACACATTCTTCCACTACTCATACCACTGCTCCTTGCTCAACAATTGAATGTTCAGCAGTTTGCCAAGTACATGCTCTTTGTGAAAGACATCCTAAGGTACACATGCATTTTCGTTTTAAATAAATAACTCACCAATTTATTATGGAAGCATTTACGCAAGGTCAATTGCTGTCTGAAAAAATCGGACGGCGTGCGTTTTTTGACTGCCATGGATCTAGCATGTCCGTGGCAGTACCATCAAGGACATACAAGGTCCATGGTGGTAAAAAAATCACGTGGAACCGCAACGGACGGCACGTGGAACCGCAACGGACGGCACGTTGCGGTCCGTTCAATAAACCACCACGGACATAACAAGTCCGTGGCAATGGCGAAGCACTGGAGCACTTTGCCTATAGGCGATTTTAGTTTTTTCCATTTATTATTGTTTAGAGACTGTGTTTTCCTGTTTCAATTCCTTGCAAATAATTCAGCAATTTATTATTTTGTTGAAAACCTATTTCCCTCTTTGCCTCTTCAATCAAATAACTACTCTTGGGAATTGGTCTCACAGGAAGATTGAAGAGCAGCGAGGTGTAGCAGTAACAGAGCTTGGAGTATCACAAATGGGCGCAAAAACATTTGCAGCTAATGGTTCACTAGCACAACCCATCGAAACAAAACCCAACACTGACAACTCTTCCTCAATTAAGTTGGGCAGCTCAGCATGGGATGAAGACTGGCCCTCAATAGTTAAGGGTCCCTCTGCATCCCAGCCTCCTCAAATCAATAACCCATCTTTTAACTCTAGACCGTTGACGCCAACCCCTTGGCCATCTATGCCTACACCCCCAAATACTCAGAACTCCCCATCCTGCCCGCCTGTGGACATAGAATGGCCTCCATCCACCGCTTCTACTAGTTATGAATTTTCAACTAGTGAGAGTGAGAAACCAAAGACGAACCCAACTGGTGCCTTAGATAATCATACCCTGGAAGACTTAGATCCTTTTGCCAACTGGCCTCCTCCAAGGAGTTCCAGCCAAAAACAGGGTCTTGGGACTTCCAATGTGAAAGGCATAACCTTTGCCACAAGCAACACTATTGGGTTCCCCAAAGAGAATCAGGGGAGCTTAGGCAATATGCCTATGAATACTGACAGTTATTTGGGCCTTCCATACAAGAATCAGGGGGCTGTGTTTGATATTGGTGGTTCAAACAATTTTGTTGGTTCTTTTGCTGATAAGAAGGAAGCAGATGTTGGATCAATATTCGTATCACCAAAGAATGAGCAGACCCCATTGAGAATTGCCCCTCCACCTCCATCTGGTAAGGGAAGAGGAAGGGGAAGAAGTCAAGTTTCAGTGCCGTCGAGGCCAAGACATACACAAAGTCCTACTGAGCAGCCCTCGCTAATGGATTTGCTTTAGTGGGTCCGACTCATTTGTGAATTATCAGAAGTGCGCCGTTGTAGATTTGCTGGACTCGGTCATATGGATTTTCTATCATATTATCAAGGCTGGAATCGCGAGTTTTCAATCCAATTTATTTTTTTAATTTTTATTTGTTTCTGCGGCCAGTGGCTTTCGCTGAGGGTTAGGTTTGAATTCATAATGGTAGAGTGATGATATAGCACGCTTTGACTGTTACATGGGATTTGTCAGTTCTAAGTTTGGATTGTTAGTTCTAGGTTTCTTTTTAATTGTGTATTATTTTTCTTTTTCTTTTTTTATCTTCGTTTTTTTTTTTTGTATCAATATGAGTTTGGTATTCTTTGAAACAAGTATTGGCTCCTCAACTGAACCGAGGCGTAATAAAATCCCGAGTTGTGATCGACTAGCCACAATACCATTTGATTGCTATGCCTAATGTCCATTATGACTTTAGGTCTGATGATTTCGCTTTCAAATTGCTTTCACAGATTAGAATAACTCAACACCCAAATCGTTTCTTTTCTCCAGAATACAGAAGTCATTGACTTCACATTCATTCAAGATGATTATCCCAGAACTGTAGTTTTCGTTGTGGGCCAATGGGCAATGGATAAGGTTAGCATTTTGCTGGGTGGTATTTAACGTTAATAAAAATCAACCAACTCTGAGTAACGTCTTTAGGATGCTTCATATCGACCCTGCTCATAATAATCCTCATGGAGCTTTAAAGGCAAAAAAAAAAGCAAATTTTTAGTGATATCATTTCTTTAGACCATGATGGAAGTCTTAAAATAAAAAAAGAGTTAGAAAGGGACATAAAATCCATGTTCTCTCAGGCTCCCACAGTTAAGGAGACATCCACGAAAACAATCGTCATTAGTTGCCCAATGCTTCACGCAGTAATAGTCTTGTCGAGCATATGATTTAAGCCATAAACTAACGCCTACAAAGCCAGAAAACCAATCAAAAACTCGGTCGCTAATCTTAATCAAGCTCTCTTCATTGATGTTCCACGCATAAGGAAAGCTGGATAAAGTCTATGCTGATATGTCAAATGACTTAAGATCCTATAGTCTCAAAATTGAAATATTAACTTGTTTAATTTGACACCAGAAGCCTCCAATTCACGGTACTCTTTGTGGGTGTCTCTGTTACTCCTTTTAGGTAAATGGGTCTTTCTTATTTCAATGATTTGTGCTCACATTTCATCAGGATAAAGCTTAACCTGATAAAAAATGGTGAAACTATCTTATGGGCATTGATATTCTTGTTCTGGTTTTTGCTTTTGGTTCTTAGTTTTGTTGGTTCTTCGTTTTCTGCCCCAAACCAAGGGAAGTGGCTGAATTTTGCAATAATCATTTGAAGAATGGGAGGTGGTCTAGTTTTCGTTCCTATTCAAGCAGGTTTAGTGCCACAAACTATAAGATTTTGAAGAAGGTAATATTTTAGATATGGGATATTTGAATATGAAAAAAACCTCAATTCGGAAACAATGAGAGACTCGGGAAGAATGAGCTTTGTGATATAGCTCTTCTTCTTATTCTAGTTATTTGAAGCAACGCAAGAACATGTATTTGGGTCAGGAAACATATACAATTCAAATTGCATAATTTGAACAACTTATAAGAGAGTTTATATAATGTTGTAACCTTATTTTGTAAAAGTAAACCATGAAAGATTGGAGAAAAGAACCCAAGCACCAAAAATAAAGCCCTAACCAAGATGGTAGAAAAAAGAGTACAATTATGATGAGGGACAATTGAAGAACCGCATGACAATTCCAGAAAAGCACTACAATTGATGCAGCTGAAAACTCACTGGCAGCCAACAACAACCAACGACGTAGCGTTTTACAAAGAGAAAAAGTCGATTCAGAAAATTCGCAAAAAAAAAAAAAGCACAAACAAGTAGAGTCGAGACTTCCAACACACCACAACCAAGACAAAACTCTCTCTCTCTCTTCGCGTCAAACTTTACTTTTGATGCAACAGAAAACTATCTATTACAATTTATGTCTCCCCTTTTAAACGGTTCTCCATAAAGAAAAAAAAAAAAATTGTATTCCTTTTATCTAAAGACAAACCATAAAACTCCCTATCTCCATGTTCTTTATCCAAAAGTAAGAACGGACTTCACCCATACAAAATATTTAATAAAAGACAACAACTTACTCATACCAAAAAGAAAAATTTAACCTTCTTAAAGAAATAATGATCTATTCTTCATATTTTCTTTAGATTACCCCTCCCAAATGAAAAACGTAATACCCTATTTTCTTTAAAACTTACTAAAGATTGAGATAAACATCCTATCTTGCAACATACTTTCCAAAACGTAATTCTAAAGAATAAACCATATATAAGCTTTCTTAAAAAAATAAAATAAAAGAAATTGTAAAAAAAAGTTTTTTTCTAATGAATAAATAAAATGTAGCCCTACCTCGTAAAATAACTATAATTGCTAAAAATTGACACATAACAAGTAACAAGTAAACCTGACAATCAAAATAAAAAAAATAAAATAGAAGTATCGATTGAACCATGTCATGAGCTGCACTATTCTCTCCTTGAAGAAAACTTGTCATCGAGTTTTAAAATAAGCTAAAATGAATTCTGCGTAATCCTGAAACCTTCTCCAACCCAATTACGTGAACACAATCTTGGGACTTGTGGGTTATTGCACTAATCAAAACACAATGGTTTTGCATTGAAACTGAGAAACCCTCTAGGAAATGGTCATTGTATGTAAACATAATATGTTTAATGAGATATACTTGTTAGAATTGCATCACTTCATTCATCTAACCCTACTGAATTTGCTTTCGCTCAACTCTGTAGTACAGCAAGAGAGCATCTTCAAGATGAACATTGGATTCGATGAATGAACCAACAACTTCACTTATCAATTCTCCTTGAGTCATTCATCTTTTTCTTCATCAAATATCGGTTTGACACAAATTGGATCTCCTACAAGATCTTGTTTATCATCTAAGTATATATAAATAATTGGTGGCATATCTCAATCTACAAGTTATTGATTTTCGGTACGACCTATGCTAAAATCAGCCTTGTTCTCATTCAAATCTGAAAGGTGGACTATGTGATAAAGCACGTTGTATATAAAAATAATTCTCACTTGTTACCACTTAAATACAACTCCTTTATTTAATAAATAAAAACTTGACACATTACTTTTTGAGTATAGAAGACCTCAATAAAAGATATAAAGTAAAATAAGTAAAGTTGCCGGAGATTATCTCAACCGAGCTTAGCGCACCCTATACCGAGTCTCCTTCTTCCAATGTGCTCAGGATCAATGATCGATCTTGATTCTACTAAGTATGGCAAAACCTTCCAATAGCATATGGATCTTATCTAGAACTAAAGTGTTAAGGCCTCAATGCTTTAGCCTTCTTTATGCCCTTTGGCTTAACCTTAGAGATATGAGAAAAATGAATCCTCTTGGTGAGGCGTCGCCCCTTCTTCGACCTTTCTTTGGCAGAGAATGTTAGGGAGAGTTCTACCTTTCTTTGAGAGAGAATGTTAGAGAGAGTGGTTTTCTTGCTTAGGGAGTGCCCCCCTTTACAACCTACTAAAGAGAGAGACGTCTGGGTAGGGCATGGCCCCCTAGAGAGAGAAAGAGAAAGCTTATAGAGATTTTAGAGAGAGAGGAGAGAAGAAGAGAGGTGCATAGAATTATGGAAGAGAGGACCCCTATTTATATATTTTTTATGAATTAAGATTTGTCATATTTAGTGAGATCAAATTTAAAACTTTGATCTAAAGAGACTTGTGAGGTGGGAAATGTGAGTCATTAATTCTTTAAATCCACCATCAATATTCATAAGAAGGTGCTAGAACCTTATTCTCTATTTTTTAAATCTATTCTTATTAAATATTTAAATAAAGAAAATATATTCAAACGTTCTCTTTTTATTGATATTTATTCCTTAATCATTCAATCAAAATATATTGATTCACAAGACATACTAAATTCATTATATTCACTCCCAAGCTAAAGATGCATCATACAAAAATAAAAAGTTAACTAACATGGAGGCTTCTCACAACATTTAGTAAGCAAACTCCTATGTGTGGGGCGTGCCACTCTAAGTGGCCCCTCATGGGCCCCACCCAATTATAACATATGACTAAAGTGCCCCCCATATCATGTGGTGGGTCCCTCATATTTTATAAATATGTAATTTTATTTTTAGAATTAAAAACAAAATTTATTTCTCTTAGTTTATTTAAAATATTAGAAATTGATTTTATCTTATTTTATAAATCCAAGGGATAAAAATAAAATATCAAGGGAATCATAAAAATTCAAATAACTATTTTAAAAATCATATAACATAAAAATAATTAAAACCACTTAATTTTGATGGGACTCAAATCCATATAGGTCTAGAAATTATAGAGATACTGTAGCACTCCACCTACAATTGTGAACCATGATTCATACTAGCTTTATCAAACTGATTCAGTTGTTTCATGACCCACAGTCCACTACAAACGTTCATGATTGGACCACCAAAGTCGGCTAATAGGCTAGGGGGACGTAATCGCAATCTATTGATTACAAATTCTCCCCTAGAGACAAATCCATAGTCCCCCAGACCATGATGCAACCATGCCTCCATGGTGCATAGGGGAAATCTCTCGCACTTGTCTATACTTCACCCTCAACGATGGATTAATATCTCGATACGGCTATCTATGTACATGTCATATGATGCTACAAGGATGAGGCTTTTGCCCGATCTTTAAAGGCCAACCATCACACATAAGCACCACACAGTCCCTCGGCTCACTCATCCGGTCAACTCTGACCTCATCAAGAGATGAACAACTGAACCCTCATTGGTTTAACTCTATGCCCAGGTATCTTGGGTTTTCCAACTCGATTGGCTTAGCACGTCGAGGCAAGTCTGAATATTGGTAAATAACATTTGCCTAGTATGGTCCACAAGATGACCACACTTTCATTGAGTTTATATTTTACTATATAAAATACTTATACAAGCTCTCATAAGGCTTTTAATAGCCAAATAAACCCAACAAAATCATATAGAACAACTTTATTACTTAAAGAGTACGATGTCATGAGCTACTCCAGCCAAAATGACTTTTTTTCAATACGTTGTATGACATCTTCTGGCATGATGATTCTTATCATAAAATCTCTAATGAAAAGCATGTAATAATGTTCTCATAGACTATTAGAAGTATTACTTCCAATACGGATGTCCAAGAGTGTTTCCTGCATTCTAGAAAAAAAAAAAATGAAATATTTTAGGAAGACTGTTGATGAAATTTGTAAATTTTAAAATTTCTTCATTACTCTTCTTTCAAGTGGAACTCCTGAAATCTAAAATCAAACTAGATTTTATCCTTATTTTAA